CCCTCCTGAACAAACAACAGCCAGGGCCTCGGGAAAACAGCCGCCTCCCCTTCTTGAGGACCCTGTGGCTTGCAGAGCCCTGTGAACACTGCCCCATGGAAGGTTGGAGGTGGGAGGGTGGTGGGCAGGGTCCAGGCCTCCTTTCTGTTGATTGACCTGCCCAGCGGGCCAGTCAACTGGCGGGTGTCGGGAGCCCTTGGCCGGGCAGCAAGGCTCTGTGAGAAGGTGGGCAGAGAGAATCCGTGTGTGACAGATGTCTCCTGGGACTTACTGTAACTCAGGGGCTTTGGCCGGGGCTGCTCAGCTTGCGTCCTCATCACACTCAGAATTGCTGTGTGTGAGTGTGCATGTGATGTGAGGGTCTCACAAACTGGATGCCAAATGTTTGTGAGTGTCTGCGTGAGTGTGAGACAGAAACACAAAGTCAGCCCCGAGTGTGGCGGAGAGTGGGTCTCGGTTTTGTTTGCTCCATCTGCCAGGGCCGGCCTGGGGCAGCGCCCCCGCCCTCAGCTGTTCTATACAATATTAATGCTCACCATCTCGGCCTCACACAACGGCCCTAATTGTCGTCTGCGGCATTAAGGCAGGCGCCCATCTGCAGGGAAGCTTTCAGAAGGAAACAAGAAAACCCTCACCCCCAGCTGGTCACCGGAGAAGGTGGTGCCAATTACAGATGCAGAAAGTTTAGACCAAAATTACTTGAAAGAGTTTTTATGAAGCAAATGAACTGACACTTGGAATGTCTGTGTGCAGATTTGCACAAGTAATTACACTTTATTTGAAATGATCTTACCAGCTAAGCGATCATTAAGCCTGCTCCCCACTCACACAAAGCACTTCTAGTGAGTGCGGCTGCAGCAAGTTTGGTTTTGCAAATCTGCCCCTTCCCTCCCGTGTGGAGTCTGAGGACCTGCCAGTCCTCAGGAGTTATTTCCTGGTGTATCTTTCCCAACATTTATTAAAAAGTCACATGTGACTTTCCCACAGATTTCTATGAACTAAAACCCAAAGAAACAATGTGCGCCATGCCTAGTTATGGAAGAGAAAATATTTTATAATTTCAAAAATTCCTGACACATTTCCACCCTCTCTAAGAAAAAAGTTTAAGATTATACCTTGCTGTTGTCACAGACCAACATTCCCGCTGGTTTGGGCTGTAAAACATCCTAGCAGGGGTCTGCTGGGGTTGGGAGCCTTGGGTTTGGAATTCTCCGTCTCAGCCTGCAGCCTGGAGTGCCAACTCACAGACTTCCCTGCGCTGAGAACAAAGAGGCGCTCTGGGGGGAGAGCGCTGTCCGAAGTGCTGATCAGACCTCGGATCCACCCACCGCTCAGGCTCCTTCACAGGGCTGAAGGGCGGCAGCCCAACCTGAAAAACGTGTTGGCAGCCCCCTCTCTGCCCTGCTCTTTCCCCTGGACTCCTTTGTTCTCTTGGCCGTGTCAGCTAAAGAGTTCGAACCTTTACTCCTCACAACTCATCTTCTGAAACTGCTCATACCACTTTAACCTCCCAGTGAGAGCACCCGGGCTCTCTGGGTCCTGCCCGCCGGCACCAATTTTAAGTTTCCAGGCACATTCTGCAGGCTCTTCCTGAGCAGCCCCACAGAAGGTCTGGGGGTCCATTCCCGACCCCAGAGCGCGACACCTCAGGAGGTCTGCAACTGACTGTTCAAAAGGGGACGTGAGAAGTGCCGGGGACTCAAGTTTTCACCGACATCATCTCTATTCCCTGAAAAACCCTCTTGCGCCCACGAAGCCACGCTGCACATGTTGGTTTCTCCCTGATGCCACCTCTGCTTCGTGGTGGTTTCTTAGGCCTGACTATTGCATGTCTGAATTAAGTCACTTTCATGAAACCTTGGGTGTTGTTGGGAAATAAGGCTGATTCAGCAGTGGCCCTCCCTTTGATTCTATCTCCATCATGGAACAATGGCCTGCAAGCCTGCCCGGAGCCTGCAGCCTGCCGATAAGAGTTTAATAGAATTTCTGAATGCCGAAGGTTTGGGATGTAAAACATCCTAGCACAGTATGTCCAGAGGAGATAGAAATGGTTTTTCAGGAGATCGCTCAGCTGAATGTGTCCTTTTATGCTAATGGATATAAGTTTATGAAAGAATTAAAAAATGGCAGGCAGTCATTGTGGAAACCTCAAACTGTTCTCATTTGACTAATTAATATTTCATCCTCAGTTTGACCAGTGCAGGCCTGCATTAATTTCCTTGTGCTCAATCTAAACAATAGCTCTATGTGCATTTTGTGTTTTATTTGTTGAGGATAATGTGTGTGTAGAAGAATCTAAGATACTTGCCTTTGGGGTGAAGCTCATTGATTTGTATGTAATATGTAAAGCACTAACTGCATGTTAAAAATAAGCCACTAAGATTTTCAAACCTGCTGTCGTGGAGAAAGCAGAATATTTCAGTTCTGTCTCATTTACACTTTTGGTGGCCTGGGCCCTTTAGCACCAATTAAGTTGGGGTTAATTGTGTTCTTGCATAATTTACCAAGAAATGATGTTTACTGTCTGTTGCAATCTCTGCATTTAACTCCTGAGATGAGAGTTTTGCTGGTTCTCCAGCTGGCCCCTGATGGTAGCATCTCTGCAGGTGTCTCACATTCACTTTTCATCCTTAGGTTTCAGTTTAGTTTTTGACATCCTGATATGATAATGGACAACTGTTTGCCTGATTTATTAGTACAAGAAGGAGATTTGGGCCGCAAACAAGAATAATACTCTGGCTCTCGATTACTTGTACTGAGGAAATTCCTACATTTATCCCTGAATGTCAGGCAAAAAATCACAAACTGGCAGATGAGAAGGCAGACAGTCAGGTTGCATAAAGAGTGGGTGGGCACGTCCATTGTGTGTGTTACGGATTTTTATCTTCATTTTCATTGGATAGCTTCTTCAGGCAGTTTGTAAAAGAATCAGAAAAAGAGTAGAAAACTTGGGCAGTGTTCTTCCCTCTAGTCGGAGTAGACTTAGTGTTTTTAGGGGTGGGTTACCCATGCCCCAGGGATCCCTGAGTTCTCTTTGGGAAGGTTTTATTATTGTAAAAATTAAAGTGAAAGGGAACATGTGATAACAGAAAAATGTCTTTTGCTGATCTATTCTTTGTGTGCATGACTTTATTTGTTGGTCTGTGGCTATAGTTACCTTTTATGCAGTTAAAAAAATACATATCCATTTATGTCATGGGTACTTGAATATGCAGATGAGCCAATATGTAATATTCCTTGTTCATTTGAGTAATAAATTCTGCAGCCCGTTCTTTATGATGGAAGGTCATATTCCTAACCACCAATAAATATTGTAAAGTACTTTCGCTGTAGCCATGCTAACCCAGGGCATCTGTCATTCCGGTTGCTGCTATTAGGAATTATTGGACTGAACCACTGGCAGAGAAAGCAGAGGGGGGTGAATGTGGTGGTTGTAATACTCTCTGCCCTTTCGTGTGTTTTGCATTTAAAAAAAAAACTCAGTTGTGCTGCACATTGATTATGAATCAATGTGGACAAATGTAGGCACCTTCTGTTGGCCGAGCCTCCAAGCAGGGGACAGTTCTCTGCTGGCCTCGGACACCTCTCACCCCCAATTCACCAGATCCATCTTTCTGATGCTATACTGTAAATTTATTTCACCTCAGAGAGTAAACAGATATATTGGAGCCCCAAGGGTTCATGGGTAGCGTATTTACAAAGGAGCCTCCTCCGCCAGCCCGTGCCACCGCTGCTAATGAGAGCAGTCATTAAGTAAATGAGACGTCGCCTTTAGCTGGCTTAGGAGTTCGCACACTAAGGGGAGAAGATATTTAATTGAAACCCGCACGCAGGCTTCCCCACATGTGACCGTGTAAGGGAGGCAGCTGCCTTCCCTCTCCTCCCCCAGTCCACCCTGCACCCCCCATGTAAATTTCATGATTGCTTTCCGTGATGTCATTTTGAAAGAGGACAGACAATAGCTGTGGGGAAAGGTAAGTCAATGTTATGTTCTTTCTGACAAAGGCAGATACCCAATGCCTGGCTTTTCCTCTTGGACAGAGACAGGGAGAGGGCGCGAGGGCAGAGTTAATTTCTAAGATGAAGGCTCTCTTTGCAGGAAAGGCAGGTCTGAGGGTGGCTTTTTGAAACTGCTCAGGAGGACTGATGCTTTCTTCTCCTCCCTGGCCTGCCGTGTGCTGTTTTCCTCTGGTCTCTCTGTTGTTCCTGCTCCTCTGAGATTCCAGGGGACATGTTGTGCGTCTGACAGAGGAGACATTCGTGGAGGGGAGTGCAGCTTGAGACGAGAAACTTTATGCGCATTTCTGGAAGAGGAACAACGGATGTGTCTGTGGCCCTTGGACCCAGCAGCTCTGTACCTGGGGAAAGCACTGGCCCCGTAAACAGAAGATCTCTCTGAAGTAGGGTCTCAGAGTCTGGGGCATGTCATGTGTGACCCCCCACCCAAGGTACTGAGTAGAGGTGCTCACGTGAGCATTTTGTCTGCATGTCATGTGTTTCTAAACTTGAGGATCAATATTGAGGGTGCATGTGTCTGTGGATAGATGTACAGAAGTAAATATCGGCCGCTCCTCTCAGCCCCTTTTCTCCTTACGTGTCCGTGGGGTTGTGGAGTGTGGTTGTGTATGGTGGTAGTGTAACTGGAATTTTATATTTAAAACTAGAAATCAGGGTTAGCTAAGAAGTTGGTGTAAGCGATGAACACCTTCATGCCGTTGTCTGCAGTTCTGGGGCCGTGGACTTTGGTTCTGTCCATTGAATTCACTTTCTTCTTCACAAACCAGGAAAATAAACAAGTGCTGGTGGCTTTGTGTTGGAGGGGTGGGTTCTCACTGCTCCTTCTGAACCACCCAGGGCTTTTCTTGTCTCAGCAGCACCTTTGAATCAATGGACACCATTGGCTGGTAAAGTTCGTTTTTAATTTTGGAAACAAAACATCTGCGGTGGCGGGGGGGGTTCTGTGGCTGCATGTGGGTTTGGTCGTGGGCATCGACACTGTCACTATAATGATGATAATGACAGCGATGATTATAATTATCCTTTTGGGAGAGGGAGGTGGAGAATTTTGCCCTTGTAGTTGTTTTTTTTTTTAAAATCACAGAAACCCGAGGACACTTCTAACACCAGTGGCTTAGTGCACAAAAGGTGGGAGGGATGTTGGGGCAGACTTGGGGGCTCACTTGGTGCTGAGGGGTGTGCTCTGGCTCTGTCTCCTCTGAGGTGCTGACAGAGCCTGCCCTGGCTGCACTCTGGCCTGGGGAGTGGGGTGCTGTGTCCTCACCCAGGGCTGACTAAGGGAGGCTCCCCTTGGCCCCCAGGCCGACTGCCACCCAGGGCTCCCCTCCCATTGGTCCTTGACTGTGATTATCACCTCCTTCCATATGGCCTTGTTAATTAACGGTAAACAAAAGAGTAAGAGAGCAGGGATTGGGGTCCAGTGGTACCAGCCAGGGCGCTGCTACTCTGCCCTGTCTCCCTGGGTAGCTGTTCCTTGTGCAGAGGAGGCTGGGTCAGGGCTTAGAGGGCAGTTTGTTTTCAAAGAGAAAGAGTCAGCTTTATGAACTCTTCTGTCCTGTAGAGACTGAGACTCCCACAGGGTTCTCCTGCCCCCTGGGCACCTGGTCAGTGCTGAACTTCACAGGGTGCTTGCTGATCCAGGAGCCTGAGCAGGAGCTACAGAGAGTTAGACAAAGAGGCCTTTCCACTCAGGAACAGCCTGAGCTCTGACCCCTTTGGGCTATGAATCCCTGAAGAGGGCCTGGGAGCTTACCCAAGGCAGGGGGCTGCTTCTGTCTAAAGTGCCACTCAGGGGGCTGTGTGACCCTCAGTCATTGCTCACAGATCTCGAGGTAGCCTCAATTGTTCAGTGCCAATGCTCTGACCCCTCTTGGAAGATTCTGGCAAAGGCAGTGGTCACCCACTGCCTTGAATGCTCCTGGTGCATGAGTGGGGAAAAACTCTGAGATGACCCTTTCTAGCCATGTGGGATGCGAAGTTGCTCTGGTCTGGGGGTTGCAGTAGCTTCTACTTTGAATCTCTCTTAGTGCCCAGAGATGTCAGGGAGAGGCTGGCAGAGGGTATGCGGGCACTGGCATGCACGCTGGGCAGCTCTGGCAGCTGACCAAGGCAGTGCTGGCTCCGCAGTCAGCCTGGATTGGCTGGAGCTTGGCCTGTCCCCTACGTGGACGTTGTGGGCGCTCTCCCTGGTGCTGCCCAGAGACCCAGCCCCCCCAGCCCTGCCTCCGCCCGGGCCTGGGGTCACTGAATGTGCAGACAATGACATTTGTGGTGGTATGGGGGGCAGAGCAGACCCACCACTCTGCATTGGGGAGATGGGGGTCAGAGCCTGACTAACCTCCTTCCTCCTGCTCAGTCTAGTGATGGCTGGGCCATTTGGAAATGCCAGTTAGCAGAGAGAGCAGGAGAGGTTCCTGAAGACTGACAAAGTGCCAGAGAGCTTCCCGGGGCCTCCAGCAGCTGCTCAGGGTGATGGGCAGGCTGGTGGAGGCTGAGCTTTTCCTGGATGGACTCGGTGCAAAAGGCACGTCTACTTTGGAAAAGACTGATCAGGGATTGGGGCCACCCAATCCCTCTGTCAGGACTCAGGGTAGGGATGAGACCAGGAACAACCATAATGCTTTAATCAGCACCGGGCCTGGAGTGGATAAGGAGGTAGAGAACGGAGCCAGCTGGTGGATCGGGGTCAGGGGTTAGCTGTGGGGTGGGTGGGGGCTGCTGGCGGTCACCTGATCTGCGAGCCGGCAGGGCACTGGACGGTCAGCTAGACTTCATGTTACTCAGGCATCTTGGAGAGCAGATGATCTGCCTGTCCTGATGCTGGAAGAGGCATCTCAGAGTCCCTCTTTTGTTGCCTCTTCTCTTGCAGAAACCTGGGCCAGAGAGAAACCTGCGGGGAGCTGGGGGCTTTTCTTTCTTCCTCTCTCCCATCCTCCTCATCTTAGATCCTCCCCCTCTGCCTTTACCTTGTGAACTCACTCATGAATAAACCAGAAGTTAGTTGTCTACAGACATAATTTTAACAGGAATTTTGTTGTGTGAGTTTACTGGAAAATGGTCTTTGGGAACCAGCATCATTAGATTAGTCAGACCCAGAAACACAGTGTTTCCCAGGAGGGAAGAGAGCGGTGGTCGCTGTGCCGCTGTGCCGTGGGAAGAGAGCGGTGGCTGCTGGGCTGCTGTGCTGTGGGAAGAGAGCAGTGGCTGCTGGGCTGCTGTGTGGCTGCTGGGCTGCTGTGCGGCTGCTGGGCTGCTGTGCCGTGGGTTTTCTGCTCCTGGGAGACCATAGAACCCCTCCCTGCTTCAGGACAGCCCCCAGGGGCAGCCACTGCCCAGCCCAGAACATCTGCGGGGCCTCAGGGTGGGATGTGCGTTCATGGCCTCTTGAGGTTCCCAGCACTTTTTCTGTCTTTCAGACAAAATCTCCCCAAACGCCACTTTAAAATACTCAAAACAAAAATGAGCAAGAGGAATTTCACCTGAATTAAAATGTTTTTGATCTCAGGCTTCCACTGAGCCTGATTCAGAGAGAATGATTAATAAATACCTGCCAGTGGAAGTGTAGTTTGGAAATGTCTCCCTTTTTATCTTCAGTGTTGAGGAACCAGCCTGATACAAATATGGTCTCTTCTCCCCACGGGTAATGGCATGAGGCACTTTCCTTGTGGGAAGATTGGTTTCACCCATCACTTCATCCTTTTTCTCATTTTACAATTTGCACTTTAAATTTTTTAAGTGCAAATATTAAGTGTTTTAATTGGGAATGAAATTAACTCAGAGGATGCTTTAATCTGCCCTGGCTGAGCACATCTGCCTTGGCTAGGATTAGCAATCAGGCCTTGCAGAGGAGTGAGGTTGTTGACACAGGTGTGGGTGTCTGTGGCCCTACTCCCATCCCTCGTCCTGCAGCACCAGAAGCCTCTACTCAGCAGCCCTACCTTCAAGAGGGTGACTGTGTGCTCAGGCTACCGAATGTGTGGTTTTCCCTGGAGTTGCATGGAGTTGTAGGATATGTTTGCTGTGCCTCAGGGTTTATTTCGGACTGTGGCCGGGGAGCATGGCCTGTACCAGGAAGGTGCAGGTGGGGTAGCCCTCAGGAAGTAGGCTGCAGCACTCTGCATATGTCAGAGTGACCAGGCAAGGTGGGGGTGAGCACTTGGGATGTAGACGCTGGGGAGGAAAAGTGGAGGCACCATATGGCCTGAGCTGCTGACAGATGAGCTTGCTGGGCCCCACCTCTCTCTCACGCCTGGCTTCACACCTCCATCGTGTTCAACATTGGTCTGAGGGCTCGGGCAGCAGCCATCTGGGTCCTCTTCTTTTTTCCCATTTTGCTGCCTGCAATCCACACACCAGAAGAGGAGTGTGAGAAGAGGGGCCCTGGGTCAGGGCAGGTGGAGCCTCTCACCTGGTCCTGGGGGCCCCTCCAGGTCTCCCAGCTCAGGGACCACTGAGCTGCCAGTGGCTGACCTGCCTAGCCTGAGTGGGAGGAGAGCGGGAGCTTAGGTGCTGCATTATGCTCCAGGGCCTGCTTTAGAAGGCTCTAGAAGATCCCTGAGACTCTTGGACAGCAAACTGACAGCAGCAGGTGCCTGGCGTAGTCTCACAGTGAGCCAGACCCATGGTGCATCCCCGGTTCCCCTGTGCATCGTGCTGAGGAACTTGTCAAAGCACTTGGGTTTTTACACCTACAGGGTTTTTTTGAGTTCTGAAAATCAAAAGTCTTTAGCAGTCATGCTCTGTGGGCAGCCCAAGTGGCTCCTAACTGGAGGTGCTGCCCACTCTTTACAATACTCAGAGCTGGGGGACAAGTTCCCTCTCGGCTCTGAGTTTCCAAGGCGTCAGCTGTCCTACGGATCCCAGGTGTGGGTGGTTCAAACCCTGCCCAGTTGCTGCCAACTGAACACTTGGTTTGTCAGTCATTCGTCAGCACCTGGAATTGTGCTCATTCTGCCCTCACCGAAGTTTTGTTTAGGGAAAAATGGATTTGAAATTGGGATGACTTACTATATTTAACATTATTTTCATTGAGACTGGGCCTTTATGAAATGGAACAATAAATATGACTTAGGTAGCAAGGGGCAAATAAACACATTTGACAGTGTTATTTTAATCATTGGGACTGTGCTAACTCGTTTAATTCTCGTTAATGTGTTCTGTGCTGGACACTGAGGCTGGGAGGCAAATTAGCTTCCCAGGTGAGTGGTGTAGCTCGAATCTGAACTGTTTCCAGGACAGCCCCCGTCTCAGTCCCACCCAGCCCCACCCAGCCTTCCTGCCCAGTGTCCCAGACTGCCGTGGAGGCTGCCTGCAGACCACAGGGTGACCCTTACTGCTCTCATGTCTCTTCCTTTCAGCCTGGGAGGCACCTAGGTCCTGTCCCCAGCTTTCCCTCCAACCTTTTTCTGCATCCCAAAGTGGGTTGTTGCCCAAGATCCCGGAGCACACCTCCCTATCTCCCTCCATCTCCCGCTGCTGGAGCTTTGCTTCTCGTTCAAGGCTTCGTGCAGATGCCGCCCCGGGTTCTTTACCTACGTTTACTCTCATGTGTCTCACATTTGAAATCCCTCTCTCAGCAGCGCTGCTGTGACATTGCATCAGAGTGATGGGTGTCCCCGCTTGCCTTCCAGGAAAGCCTGCAGGCAACCGGCTCCAAGGCCTGCTGGGCCTGGGGGGCACCCCAAGTCTAGGACATGCTGGGCCTGGGGGTACCCCAAGTCTAGGACATGCTGGGCCCAAGAGGCACCCCAAATCTAGGACCTACTGGGCCCAGGGGGGCACCCCAAGTCTAGGACCTGCTGGACCCGAGGGGATACCCCAAGTCTAGGACCTGCTGGGCCCGAGGGGATACCCCAAGTCTAGGACCTGCTGGGCCCGAGGGGGCACCCCAAGTCTAGGACCTACTGGGCCCGGGGGGACACCCCAAGTCTAGGACCGGGACCCGATGGGGCCCCCCAGTCTGGCTCTGGCACAAATGCATGTGCTTGCCTGGGGTCCCCTTGTCAACACAATGTGTGGAGTTTTCAAAGCTGATCTGGACCAGGAAAGGATCTAGTTTTGGCTTTGAGGTTGGAAGGATACTTGTGGTGGGAGGAAAAGCTACTTAAATGCTCAGCTGTGGAGTTCTGAATTTTCCTGCAGCATCTGCTCCTCCTTGAGGTTGAGCCCTGCCTTCTGGTTATTTGAGATAATGTCCACCCAGATAAAATGTTGGACTATGAATGCACATTACAGAGGTACCTCTTACAGTCACTTTTAAAAAGTGGTCTGATTTTGAACAGGTTATTTAGAGTTTTGTGCTACCTTGTTTTATTTCTGCAAAGGCCATGCCCAACCCTAGCCTTGGTGAGTTGTGACCCAGCCATGTCACTGATGCATCAAAGTGGGTCCGCTGTGAAGTGTTGGTTCCCTCCCCATGACACACACAGACAAATGTGTCCAATTATATTTTATTTTTTCAGATGGAGTCTTGCTCTGTCACCCAGGTGGAGTGCAGTGGGGTGATCTCAGCTCACTGCAACCTCTGCCTGTGGGTTCAGGCGATTCTCCTGCCTCAGCCTCTGGAGTATCTGGGATTGCAGGTACATGCCACTATTCCCGGGCTAATTCTGTATTTTTTAAGTAGAGATGGGTTTTTGCCACGGTCAGGCTAGTCTTGAACTCCTGACCTCAGATGATCTGCCTGCCTTGGCCTCCCAAAGTGCTGGGATTACAGGTGTGAGCTACCATGCCTGGCCTAATTTGCCCAGTTTTTAAGAGTTAAGAGGCGCTGTGAGCTTGCTGCTTTCCCTCATCTGGCAGTAAGTCCTGTAGGTAGGGAGTCTGCTTCCTAGGTGCACCAGCCAGATGGGAAAAACAAAGTGGGTTTGTTACTGAATGGCATCAGGGAAGTAATCCTCTAGAAGGCTGCCTGGAGCCTGTCTTGGGGCCCTGCCCCTCTTCCCTGTGAGCACCATCACACTGGTTATCACACATCATCCACACTGGTGGCCTGGGCTTGTCTGGCTGCAAATCCCACCTGCAGCTTCTAAGTCAGAACCTGCTACTGGATGTGGATGGAGCTCCCTCCATCTCCAGGGTCTCAGCCTTCAGGCTTGGCTGACCCCCTACACCTCTGGCATGTGGAGGAACCCAAACCCACTTTGATGTAAGATTTAGAGTCCAGACCGGGCGTGGTGGCTCAAGCCTGTAATCCCAGCACTTTGGGAGGCCGAGGTGGGTGGATCACGAGGTCAAGAGATTGAGACCATCCTGGTCAACATGGTGAAACCCCGTCTCTACTAAAAATACAAAAAATTAGCTGGGCATGGTGGCACGTGCCTGTAATCCCAGCTACTCAGGAGGCTGAGGCAGGAGAATTGCCTGAACCCAGGAGGCAGAGGTTTCGGTGAGCCGAGATCGTGCCATTGCACTCCAGCCTGGGTAACAAGAGTGAAACTCCATCTCAAAAAAAAAAGAGAGTCCAATTCCTCTTCCAGGAGAGCCCTCTGAGGGTCTTGGACCTGGTGAGCTCTCCCCTGCCAGCCCCTCCTTCTGGGCACCTACTTCCTGCCCACTCCCTAAGAGGCCAGGCCACCTCTGGGGTCTGTAAAGTGTTTGTGTTTTCCCCAAATGCTGTTCTGTTTTGGCTCTTGTGTACTGACCACTGTCCATCCAGGTTGGGAAATTAGCATACACATTGCCCCATCCCCCACAATTTTTCTAAGTCTGAAAAGCAGCACAGGGGGCTGCTCTGAGCCCTGGAGCTGGGGCTTCCGTCAAACCCACCAGAGAGGAGCTGCCTGGGCTCACCCTAGCCAAGCAGGAATTTAGGTAGGGGTCCTGCAGTGAGAGAGCCTGGGGTTAGAGAAGGAAAAGGGAGCGGCTGTCAAAGCCATAATCCCCAAGGGCTCTGAGGCCTGGGGATCTTCCCTCGAGCCCTCTCTCTTCTGAACTGGGGATGAGCCAGGGCATGGACAGACCTGAAAGAGAATGTGGGATGCCTTTCCTAGTGGAATAATTTTCTCTTCAAGGCCTCAATAAAATGTGTTCTTTTTTTTTTTTTTTTTTTTTGAGACGGAGTTTCGCTCTTGTTACCCAGGCTGGAGTGCAATGGCGCGACCTTGGCTCACTGCAACCTCCATCTCCTTGGTTCAGGCAATTCTCCTGCCTCAGCCTCCTGACTAGCTGGGACTACAGGCACGCACCACCATGCCCAGCTAAGTTTTTGTATTTTTAGTAGAGACAGAGTTTCACCATGTTGACCAGGATGGGCTCGATCTCTTGACCTCGTGATCCACCCGCCTTGGCCTCCCAAAGTGCTGGGATTACAGGCTTGAGCCACCGCGCCCGGCCCAAAATGAGGTTTTAAGGAAGAAGGAGATGGCCATTGCTTCTCTTCTTGGGCTGGAAAGCTGAACGGTTCTAAGAGCAATTTCTGGGACTGAGGAACCAAAGTGCTGGAGCAGAATTCCAGAGCAGGCCCCCTTGACCATGCAAAGCCAGCGTGTCTTCTGGGGAGTTCCCAAAGATCCATGGGGAGGACGCCCCCAAACCCAGCCCTGCTGGCTCTGGCCATACCCTCTTTTTATCTTTTTTTAAAGATGGGGTCTCGGGCTGTTGCCCAGGCTGGAGTGCAGTGTCTCGGCTCATTGCAACCTCCGCCTACTGGTTTTAGTAATTCTGCGCCTCGGCCTCCGAGTAGCTGGGATTACAGGCATGCGCCACCTCACCTGGCTAATTTTTGTATCTTTAGTAGAGACGGGGTTTCATCATGTTGGCCAGGCTGGTCTTGAACTCCTGACCTCAAGTGATCCAGCCATCTTGGCCTCCCAAAGTGCTGGGATCACAGGCGTGAGCCACTGTGCCCAGCCTCTTAACTCTCATCCTGCATCTGGAATACCTGTTGGACCAGGCCTGTTTCCATCGCAGCCCCTTCTTACTGCCTTTGTTTTCTCTGTGTTCTCCCCCATCTGTACCCCGGGATTCAGGCAAGCAAGTCTAGTTGTGCCTGATCTGAAAAAGGGTCTCTGATGGTGGCCCAGTGAGGCAGGGCCATGGGTCAGCCTGGCTACCTTCCCTCCCTTCCTGAGCACTGTGGGTGGGTCAGGCCTCAGGCAGCCCTGGGAGGCAGCAGCCACAGACGGAGGTGGGCTGGTGGGCAGGTGTGGCTGACAGAGTGGATGTCTTTTGTGGCCTGGCCTGGTCAGTGGAGATGGTCAGGGGAGCAGGGGGAGCCCCCAGCCCAGTGCCTGAAGCTGTGTCCATTTCCCCCTCCCTGGCTTCTCTTCCTGTTGCCCTGGGTGGGCTCTTGGGAGCCACCTATTTCTAGAGTTCTCCTTTCCGGGCTCCTTGTCCTGGATGTGGGGTGAATGTGCCGGACTGGGGTCACAGGGTTGCACCCACCTGGAGCTGAGGCTGTTCTTGCCCCAGAAGGAAAATCCCACCTGTCTGCGTGGAGCAGAGTGTGGATTGGTTTGCTTGCTGCCGCCTGGGTCCTGGTGCCCGGCCTGAGGGTGATGCTGGTCCCACAACTGGACTCTCCCAGGCGCCCCGGGATGGATCAGTGTGACACTTTCGGCATCCCTCCGGCACACTGCCTGCCCTGGGCTGGGCACACCCTCCCCGTCGGCAGCTAGGGATGACAGGCTGCCTGGAGAGCCATCCTATGATTTGGTTTGGAAAGTCATTATTACTGCAGAGCAGTTTAGCTGTTGTTTTTACAGCTTGGTAAAGTTAAAAGAAATAATGATAATAATATAAGAAAGACTCAGCCACAGTAACTGCCTGCAACATGCTATTTGCATTTTTAAGGAAACAGTTCTTTGAGACAGCCTGGGTGAAAGGTCACTATTTGCATATAAATGGAAAAGAAAGTGTATGATGCTGGAAGTTACATCTGTATTATTTTCTCAGCAGTGAGCTGCTGTTGGAGAGATTAGAGGACATGGCTTGCATTTGGCTTTTATTGAATAGAGAAAGTAGCAGCGAGGCTGATTTAGAAGCAAAATAATGAGAGAAATGTGCAAAGCTATAGAATTGCCAACTCCCCCTGCCCCCACCTCTCCCTTCTCTCATTTTCACCTAAACTCAGCAAAAGCTGGTCTGCCTTTGCGCCACTCAGCAAGTCTTCATTTTACTTCTCTCTGGATTCCAGAGAGGAAAAAAGGGAAAGAAAAAGAGCAAAACTTGCCCTCATTTTCCCCTCAGTCCCATGTGTGTCTCCTACCAATGTTTCCTCCAGATGCCCCAAACCCAGGAGCAGAAGCCCCTGTGACTGCACTGCTCTTCCAGAGTGTGGAGCAGAAGAGGCCTTCGGGGGGCAGGGACCAGCAACCAGGGAGCACCCCTCTCTGGAGTTAGTGGGGCTGTTCTGGACCTGCTGCTGGGAGAAGCTGGGGGCAGGGATCAGATGAGGGGGTCCTGTTCTGCCATCATCACAGCCCCATGGGACCCACAGTTTCTGGGACATGGCTTCCACTTTCTTCATGGAAATTTCCAAGCTTGTCAGACTTTCCCAGGTGCCTGGTCCCCTGGGCTTTCCAGGAGGCCCCAGGAACAGAGCCGACCATCCCTGAGAGAAGCCCTGGGTGGAGCTGGGGCCTGTGCCTGTCCAGCCAGCTTTGGCAGCCAGCTTGTCTGAGCACATCATAGACTTTAGGGGCCTCCAGGAGCAGTCCTGGGACAGAGGGAGGTGGAGTGTCCTGCCTGGAGGAGGGGCTGCAGGATCCCCTGGGTCCCAGCTTCTCTCCTCACAGAGGCCTCCACTGACCACTGATTACTTAAATCGCACCCCCATCCTCATTATTTTCAAAAATGCTTTTTGAAACAATCTCAAGCCCACAAAAATGTTTCAAGTCAAGGCCACACTGCTTTTCCCGAGCTGTTTGAGAGTGTATCACCCAGGACACTTGGGCGGGTGTTTCCAACGACAGGGTCGCCTCCCACTTACCATTGTCTCCTTCACGGCCATCTGGTCCTCAGACCCATTCAAGGGTGGGCTGAGAATCCCGTGTGTGCTTGGTCATGGTGCCTCGTCGGCCTCAAGTACTTTTCAGCCTTGTCTTCCCCAACCTTGTGGTTTTGGAAAAGCACTGCTCAGTTACCTGGTGGGACGCCCGTCACAGAGGCGCCTGTGGCTGGGCTTGGGTTATGCAGGAACACCCAAGTATGAACTTCTTTCTTCACCTGCCCCTGATTTGTTCCTTAACTGATGATGCTGACTTGGTCACTGGATTAGATGGGGCATCCTGGCACCCCTATGCCAAAGGGAAATGCCAGTCATTTTCCCTTTGCAATTAATACATATTTGGGGGGAAGTTTCTTTGAAACTGTGGACATATCTCCATCCTCAACAAACCATCACTTAATTTTCACGGCTATCTTTATAGACTGATTATTTCCTGTTTTCTCCAACGGGCTGAAAGCCTTTCAGATTGCCCCGACTGGCCAGCGGGAACTCAGTGCAGAGGCTCCCCTAGCCTCAGCACAACACCACTGCTTTTTCTTGTTCTTGCCTTTTCTGCTTGGGGCCTGGAACTCTGGTTCCTTCGATTAGAAAATGGTGGTTAGCCTGAGACCTGGGTGTTGGGCCTCGAGTGGA